CTCGGCTTCCAGGTGCGCTGACGGCTCAGGGAAGTGCCAGCGGTCACCGCGTGTGTGTCTAACGCTCCACTTTCAGAGCCAAAGACACCTATTTCAGCAAAAACACCTATTTCAGCAAACAGAAAACAAGAATTTAAGCAAGAAGCAACACTTCGTCCGGGCTGGCGGCTTTTCTCCTCCAAGGCCCACGCTGTGGCCGCCTGCACCGAGGGTGCCTCAGGGTCGTCCCCTCACCCAGGACCCCACGGGTGTGGGGCAGGCCGGGGTCCTCAGGGTCCCGGGCTCACAGCTGCAGACGTCGGAACCGACGGCACCAAGCCCTGGCCAGGCGCCGGGTCCAGAGGAGAGCTCCCGGGGACCTCGGGCCACGCTGCCATCTGCCCACGGCCCCAGGAGCAGGACTCAGCCGGGCCACTCAGCCGGCAGCGCTGGCAGGAAGCCCACGGACCACACAGGGTTCTCCGAGGCGTGGCTGGTGACCAAAACTGGAGCAGGCAGCTGAGGCTCCCGCAGCGTGAGTTGGGGGAGGAGCCAAGGCAGTCGGGGTCACCTCCAGGTGTGTGTGTGGGGGGGGTCAGGCACAAACGCTCCGACAGCCACAGCCCCTGGTCCTGCTCTGGCGCCCACGGTGACCCCTGGGTGGCAGGACTCCGAGCCGCAGCCGCTCCTGTGCCCTCGGTGACGGCCCCGCCAGGAGCCCCCGGAGCGCAGCACGCAGCGCGGCTGCCGGCTGGGGACTGGGGGCTCACGGGGGCACCCAGGGAGGCCGGCAGAACGGGTTGGCCAGGGCAGGGAGGCCGTCCCAGCCCGAGGGCTCTGGAACCCAGGAACAGGCCAGCGCGCCTGTGCAGCTCGTGGCACGGGCGATGCCTGCGGCACCGGCACACAGGGCTGCAATTAGCAAACCCGGGTCTCGGGGACACGTGTGGCGAGGAGAAGCCCGGTCACCCGGCTCGGCCTCCCTGGGGCCCTGCGGGCACAGTGCAGACAGCCATGCCACTGCGGTCACCTCCCAGCGGCACACATGGCGTGAATCGGGGGAGGTGGGAGAGCGGCGGAGGAGGGTGCCGGCTCAGGCCTCGCCTGCTGTAGCTGCCAGCGGAGCCCGGGGCGGGCGGTGCGGGAGGCTGACAGCCCAGCAGCCTGAGCGCAGGCTCCACGCGGTGCGGGGCCGAGCCCTGGCCCGGTGCACCCGCAGGCCAAAGAAAGAGGGCAGGAGCCAGCCCAGCCCAGGCGCCCCCACACTGCGCCCTGCCGGGGTGTCCCCACCCAGGGATGGCAGCCACAGGCGGTGCCAGTCCAGATCAGCCAGCAGGCAGACGACGGAGCGGGGACGAGAGGTGACGGCTAGCACCACCCATCGCCCACAGCTCACGGCCTGGGGAGAAGCGTGGGCTGTGCCTCAGCTTCCCTAGCCGGCCTCATCGGGAGGAGCTGTCCCCACCCCCACCACCGCCAGGCCGCACGCCAGCCCTCCCTACCGCCCGGCCAGTGCTGCTGGGGCGAGTGGGCAGGCCCGGACTTTCCAACACCTTGGGCTGGGACAGGTGAGAACTCGGCTCCCAGGGCATCTGCCCAGCCCCCCCCCCCCCCCGGCCTCAGTACAGCCCCGTGAGCCGAGCTGAGCCCTGCACCCAAGGACACACGCTCAACACAAGACCCACCGGGACGGGACAGGGCACAGCGCAGCCGGGAACTCCCCAGACGGCCACGCCTGCTTTGTGGGTGCCTCCGGGACTGCCGGTCACCGCCGCCCGCAGACGCTGCCCGCACGCAAGCTCGCAAAGCCGTGCCCGGATCCACCGCACACGGCCTCAGCCGATTCAGCTCAGGGTCACCACGACTAAGAGCTGCCCTCGCGGCCCTGGGGCAGGGCGGGCACAACACCCAGGACGGGGGGCAGTGCAGGCCGCTGGGCCGGTGACAGCTGCCCCGGCTCCACAGGATGCCCCCCCCAACCATCCACGCACACGCAGTGCGGCGCATGTGAGCACACACACGTGCACACACACACACACAACCAGGCACAGGGCTGCGGCTGCTCCACAACCACTCCAGGTTGGTGCCAGGGACCCCCCTTCGCCCCCAGATGGGGCCTGAGCTGCTGCAGGAGGAAGCTGGGGCGCCCCCGCGACCTCTGTCTCGTCCCAGGTCAGCGGAGAGCTCCCCAAAACGCCCCTGTGAGGGAGCGGCAGCAGGAGGGCGGGGCCCGGCAGCCGGCTCCCTGGCACCCAGGGCCCTGCGGTCTCACCAGAGCCCAGCCCCAAGATCCCTGTGGCACCAGCACGGGGAGGGGTGTGCGCACGGGCTCCGGTGACGGCCGGCTGTGTGCACCACGGGCTCCGGCCCCCCAGCTCCCGCATGCTGGTGACAGAGTTGGGGCCCTGGACACAGGCTCGAGGGTCACCACGTCCCATGGGAGCCAGGGCTTCGCCTGAAGGGCAAGACCGGAGATGCCCCCCGACCGTGTCTGCAGGCACCTCCAGGAGCAAGGGCCGGCTGTGGACTGCAGACACGGGGGGCGGCGGTTCTGGGGGGCCTAGGCTAGGGCCCGACCTCCACCGCCCAGGGGTGCCTCCCAGGAGTGCCCGGCCCTGCCCCGGCACCAAGGGAGGGGCCGTCCCCTCCTCCCCGTCTCCCCCAGCCTCTGCGCGCCGCTGCGCTCAGGGCACGCTGGGAGCCGCGCCGCTCTGCTCCCCTTCACCGCCCGCGAAATTCCCCGAGGGCTCGGCTCCCGAGGGAGCTGAGCCGCCAGGAACGGGGTCAAAGTCTGCGCTCCGGCTCCCTCCAGGGAGGAATTCTGAGCCGCACATTTCATTCTCGCATTTTTAATCAGCAGGCCAAGGACAGGCGCCTCTGCCAAGGCAAACACCACCCGGAGCCGCAGTCCAGGCGCCGCAGCCAGAGCCGGCAGCCGGGCTGAGCAGGCCACATCCCAGCCCCTCCGGAGACCCCCGGGCGGGCAGCAGCCCCCGCGAGGGCCCCGAGCCGCGGCGACCCTGCAGTGCACGGCACGCAGGACTGGCTGGGCCGCCCGGGCGGCACCGGGAGGTTTCGCCGGTCTCCTGACTGCACCTCCTCTCGCGCTGGACGTCTGCCTGGTCCACGAGCCGAAGCCGCCCGACCGGTACCGGCACTGCCGCGGCCCGGCGAGCGCCCCGGTGACAAGACGCCAAGAGGCGGCCCACACGGCCCCTGAAGGCAGCACGTCCCCGGAGCCGCAGGAAGAGCCACCCACTGGCAGGACCAGCCCCGTCCAGCGGCCGCCACACACACCAGGGCCGCCTGTGTCCGCCCTGCAAAACCGGATCTCCTCGGGGCCACCCGTCCACATGACAGGTGACCCGCGACTGACCCGCTGCTCCAAGAAGCTGACCGGAGCCTGCGTGCGGGCTGGGACCCCAGGGAGACCCCGCGCACTCGGCGGCTCCTCCCAGCAGGACCGCAGCTTTCCTGAGCGCGCCCGTGGGAGTCCCCGCAGCACAGCCACGCACGCTCCCCTCGGCCCTGCCCGCGGAAGTTCGCGGCAGAGCTGAGCCAGGAGCCACGGGAGAGCCTTGCCGCGCACCCTCTCCGGCCCCCGGCCGCCGCGGCGCTCACGACTAGCGGCTCGGAACCCGCCCTCCCTCGACAGCGCTCGCCCGCACACGGCAACGCGTGCCACGGCGGCTGCGTGACGCGAGCGCCAGCCCCGAGGGCTGCTCCCCTTCCGCGGCTCCAACATGGCTTCGGGAGGGAGCGCGGCTGCCCCCCGCCCCCAGCCCGCCCCGGCCTGGACCCGCCCCAGGGGAGGCGCAGGCCACGGCCCCGCAGGCCCGCCGCCGCGCGCGGCGCCAGCGCGCACTGTTGCTCCGCGGGCTGGAGCGGGCGACGCGGCCGCCCCCGCCGGGCCCCCGCACCGCGGCGCAGCCCGAGCTCCGGACGGGGAGGCCCCGCGCCCGGGGGCGGGCGGCGCAGGCAGGCGCCGGCCTCCCACACAGGTGCGCTCCCCCGCGCTTACATAAGACGCCGGCGCCGTCCACGGCCGCCCGGCGGGAGAAAGTGCCCCGGGGCGCGCGTGGCCGTGATCCCAGCTCGGCTCCGGGCTCCCGGGCACTCGGGCGGCGCCGTCGGGGACGCCCGCCCGGGCCGGAACTCGGGCGGCGCGCGCCGCGGCGGCCGAGGGGCTCCGGGCAGCGCGACTACCTGTGACCGCCCGCGCCGGCTCGCCGCGCCCGCCGCCCTGCGGCTCCAGCGGCCGCGCCGGGAAGACCCCGGGGCGCCCAGGATCTGGCCGGGGGCTCCGCAGCCGGCTCGGGGGCTCACCTTGTACACATTTTCCGTCAGCCGGTGCATCTCCTCCGAGCGCGACAGCGACATGGTGCTGGGTCCCCGCTGCACCACAGACCGGAGCGGGGGCGCGGGCGGCGGCGGCGGCGGCGGCGGCAGCAACGGCGGCAGCGGGACGGGGGAGCGCGCAGACCCGGACCACGGAGCGCGGCGCCCGGCGGCGGCCGCTTTTATAGCTCCTCATGCCCCGCCCTCCGCCACAGGTCCCGCCCCCGGGCCCCGCCCCCGCTGCGCCCGGATCACCGCCCCCGGCCGCCCGCCCCCGCCCAGCCCCGCCGCTGCTAGGCAACCACCAGGCCCCGCTCCAGCGCCGCCCTTCCCATTGGCGGGTTCCGGAGATGGAGGAGGGGGGCGGGATGAGAGGCGGAGACTTGGGGCTGAGTCCCGGCAACGATTGGCCGGCGGCCGTGTCGCTCCCGGGGGAGGAGGCGGAGGCGCGGCGCGGGCCGGGGCCCTGGGAGCCGCCGGAGGGGCCCGTGTGACAGCCGGGCTGGGGGCGGGGGCGGGGGCGGGGCGGCGCAGGAAGAGGAGCAGAAGGAGGGGGGAGAGAGCGCGTGGAGGCGGCTCAGCGCGGTGGCGCGTGGAGCGGCGGGCTTCGGGCGCCGGGAGTCGGTCGGCCGCCGGACCGCGCGGCTGGTGTGGCGGCGGCCGGTGAGTCCGTCAGGTGGGGAGGGGGAGCGACTGGGGGAGGAGCGGGAGGCCCTGGAGGAGGGAGGGCTCTAGGGGAGGGGAGGCCCTGAGACCCTTGGGCGAAGGGGCACCCTGGGGTCGGGGAAGGGGTAGGCGCAGGGCCGCTGGGACCCTGGAGGAGGGAGACCCCCGGGGGGGGAGGATCAGGGCGGGAGGGTCGGTGGGGAGGAGCGGATCCTGCCTGGAGGACCACGGGGCCCAGGGAAGGGAGAGGAGCCCGGTGGCCGGGGTCGAGGGTTGGGTGGCAGGAGGGTGGTCAGAAGGGGCCTGGGGAGGGGAGTCGGTTGGATGGGAGGGAGGGGGCAGAGCCCTGCCTTTTAGGGGTCCTGGCAGGGAACTGGCTGAGCTGGCGCCCAGGGCTCCCGGCACAACTGCCCTGGAGAGAGTCGCCGAAGTTAGCCGGACTCGGGAAACCCGGGCTGAGTGTCGCCCTGGCCCAGCCTCTGGGTCCTGACACTGGCTCACGCAGGTCGGGGAGACACGCCCCCAGGCGTCAGTGCCCCACTCCCCTCTGCGGCTGGCGGGCGGGGCTCCAGTCCTCGGCCTCTGGTCATCCCTGTGTAGAGTGGACCCTGTGCATTTCTGTAATGGAATCTTCAGTTGCAAGTGGTGGAAACCCAGCACGAGCTGGCCCCGGTAAACGGGGCGCCCGTTGGCTGGGGGACAGCAGCGTCTTCCAGTCCCAGACTGACCTGGGCCAGGGGCCAACTTGGGGCTCGCTGGGTGGAGGGGGAGGCAGCCAGGAGAGCTGAGAGTCTGAGACCAGGGGAGGTGGAGGCTGATGGGCCTCGGGAAGAGGAGTTGACTTGGGGAGAAATTCTGGACTTCCAGCTCCGAAATGGGGAGGGGGCTGGGCGCCCCTCTAGGAAACTCCCACGGTCCGGCCCTGCTGTGTCTTCCGGAGGCTCCCAGGGGTCTCGCCTGAGCCCCCGCCCCTCTCCGTAGCCAAGGGGCACACTCACTTTGAGTGGCCAGCATCTGTGTCCCCCGACCTGCTCCCCCCTAGCTGCAGCTGGAGCAGAAGCCGCCATGCAAAGGGGGCCACCCGGCGCAGAGAAACCCCTGTGGGCGGCGGGGACCCCAGGCGGGTCTTGGCGAGGGGGCCAGGAAATCTGCAGCGCCGGGAGGTCTGTGCCGGGACGCGCCTGTTGCTTCGGCTCCTGGAGGTCTTGTCCCCGGCCAGACCTCGGTGGCAGGTGTCTGGGGTCACGGCAGGAACCCGGCCCGAGGGTGGACGGCACAGCTGGGGGAGTCAGGATGGCTGTGGGGCCCCCCTGACGTCAGCATCAGCATGGCTGGGAAGGCAGGGCCTGGCCGTTAACCCCATCCACCCTGCTCCAGGGCCAGCAAAAGGCAGCCACCGTGCGGCGGCCACGCTCGACCCTTGCTGTCCCCGGCCAGGGCAGGATGGCGGCTCCCCACTCCCACTGCCCTCACCCCAGACCGGTGCAGCCCCCGTGGCTTGTCCGTCTCGGAGTGCGGAGGGGAGCAGGCGGGAGTCCACACCCTCCGGCTTTCCCGCTCCTCGCGGCCGTCAGTCCTTGTGGGCAGAGCGCGTGGCCGGGAGACGTAGCCATGGAGACGCGGGCATCCCCGCGAAGCGGCACCGCCCCACGTGCCTGCAGCCGGCCTGGCGGCGGGGGCCGAGGCCAGACGACCCCACAGAGCCCCCCGCGCTGGGGCGAGCAGCGGGGAGAGGGGCTGGTGCGGGCGCGCCGACGTGCGTGTCTTGAAGTGGCTTATTTTTAGTTGTGTTATGTAAGTGGCTTCAGCTCCACGTCACGTCGGCAGGGGGGTCTCAGACTTAATTACAGGATGGCAGCCTTCGCTTCCCAGGCAAGCCGCTCTGCTGGCGAGGCGGCGCGGGGCGGCGAGCCCGTGCTGCCAGAAGGCGCCTCACCGCCAGCCCCGTGGCCGGCCTCCGCCACCTCGAGCCGCGTTTGGTGTGAGTGGGGGGCGCTGGGACGGGGGGGGGGGCATTTGTGCCTCCCCTGCGGCTTCTCTTCCGCCCAATCAGAACCCCTCTTCCCTGTCCTGCCCCTGGATTAAAGCAACCGGGAAGCTCAGAGCCGCAGGGCTGCGGGGCCTGCGGGCAGAGCCGGGAGGGAGGCTCAGGTCCACCCGCTGCGCCCCGGCCCTGGACGGGCTCCAGACGTGGACGTGGGGGCCTGCGGCTGGGGGAAGGGTGGGGGTGACTTCCTGCTGGGCTCGGGGCCCTCAGGAGGGGGAAGCTGTGCAAGCTGGCCTCAGCCAGCGGCTGCGGCATCGCCAGGGAGACGCCCGCGTGGCTGTGCCTGTCGGGGAGGGCGCGCTGCTCCTGCCCCAACGTGACCGCCATCTTTCCTTTTCTTCCTTTTTTAAGATTTCTTTATTTGAAAGAGCGCTTCCATCTGCTGGTTCACTCCCCAGATGGCCACAACGGCCAGGGCTGGGCCAGGCCGAAGCCAGGAGCTTCCGGGTCTCCCACTGGGTGCCGGGGCCCAAGCACTTGGGCCATCTTCCGCTGCCTCCCAGGGCATTAGCAAGGAGCTGGAAGTGGAGCAGCCGGGACTCCAACAGGTGCCCACACGGGATGTCGGCGTCCCAGGTGGCGGCTTCACCGGCCCCATTACCCCCGTGTCGCCTCGAGAAAAGCATCAGACCTCAGTGGAGGAACCGTCCAGACCCCGGCCCAGCACCGCTCGCGCCTGCCAGGGTCACCCAAAACAAGGACGGCGTGAGACACCGTGGCAGCCCGGAGGGGCCCTGGCTGTCCTGCAGGGTCCTGGGCAGAAGGGGCGTCCGGGGACCGAAGAGCTCTGAGCAATGCCCGGGCCTCGTCGGGGTTGGCTCGTTAGTCGCCACCAGTGGCGCAGCCGACAGCAAGACGGGGTGGGGGGAGGTCTGGGGGAGGGTCTGGGGTGGGGTGGCGCCTGGCACAAGCCCCCAGCGCAGCCTGCAGGATCCCAGGCCTTGTGGCCCCCGCCGTGGAACCCTCTGTCCACTGTGGGGTCAGTGGATGAGCAGCTGGCCCTGCGGCCCGGCGCTGTAGGGCAGGGAGCACCCTGCGGCGGGCACCGGCCACGTGGCCCAGCCTGCAGCCCCACTCCAGCACCCCCAGCAGAGTCCCGGCCGCGGCCCTGTGGCTCTGCCTCCTGCTGCCGGGTGGGGACCCTCACGTCCCTCCTTGTCTCCTGTGGGCTGACAGGGCTCAGGGCCTGGCTTCTTTGTGGCCACAGCGTTCACCCTGTTGGTGGCCGCAGCGCCCCGAGCGCCCTGGTGAGCGGTCGGGGAGGCGGCCTCCCCCAGCCTGCCCTGCCGCTGGGGTGGGTGAGGAGACGTTCCCCGGCAACCAGCCCCTTATGTAACGCAGGCGCCCGTGGGAGGCACGCGGGGCGAGCGTCTTACTCGGCTGTTTCTCCCCCGTGTGAGTGTGGAGCCGGCGTCACCCTGCGGCTGCCGGCTCGGTCACCCACGTGCTCGCCGCCGCTGCAGACTGAAATACCTGCGGCAGGTGACATGCCGCGGGGAACCCCTTCCTGCCAGCACCCCCGGTGTGAGGTGTGCGGCCCGCGTGTAGGGCCCGAGGCTGAGCTTGGGGTGGGGGCGTGGGCCGAAACTGCCCACTGGGAGGCTGGGGTGGGGTGGGCAGGCTTGCACAGGTGCCCCGTCGGGGCGAGGACCCCGGAGCTGCTGCTGGGGGTGGGGTGGGCAGGCTGCGTGCACCTGCGCCTGGTGGCCCTGGGGTGCTGCGGCTCCCGGGCGGGGACGGCTCTCACTCGCGCTCAGGCAGTGCGTGCTCGGCTGAGGCCCCCTGACGGCCCTGGGCAGCCTCTGGATGGGCGCTGGGCCTGCGCCCCTGGACTGCCCGTCGTCCACGCGCGGCCAGGGAGGTGAGCCCCGCGCTGCCCGTCCACGTGCGGGCAGGCAGGTGAGCCCCGCGCCCCGCACCGCCCGTCCACACGCGGCCAGGGAGGTGAGCCCCGCGCCCCGCGCCGCCCGTCCACGCGTGGCCAGGGAGGTGAGCCCCGCGCCCCGCGCCGCCCGTCCACACGCGGCCAGGGAGGTGAGCCCTGCGCCGCCCGTCCACACGCGGCCAGGGAGGTGAGCCCCGCGCCCCGCCCCGCCCTTCCACACGCGGCCAGGGAGGTGAGCCCTGCGCCGCCTGTCCACGTGTGGCCAGGGAGGTGAGCCCCGCGCCCCGCGCCGCCCGTCCACGCGTGGCCAGGGAGGTGAGCCCCGCGCCCCGCGCCGCCCGTCCACACGCGGCCAGGGAGGTGAGCCCCGCGCCCCGCGCCGCCCGTCCACACGCGGCCAGGGAGGTGAGCCCCGCGCCCCGCGCCGCCCGTCCACGTGTGGCCAGGGAGGTGAGCCCCGCGCCCCGCGCCGCCCGTCCACGCGCGGGCAGGCCCGGCCGCGTACACTGTTCCTGAGCAGACGCCTCCCCCGGGGGGGCTGCCTGCTTCTAATTTCAGCTGCGGGAGGCTCCTTGCTCACTCTCACTCTCACTCCTTTTTAATCCCATGTTTATTTAAAGCCAGATTTTGAAATGCCGTCTGCAGCCCTGAAATCTGACGGCTTCTACAGAGGATCCGAGAGCGCAGCCAGAACCCCAGTGCCCGCGGCGCGTGGACGGGCGCGGGGGCACCGCCCTGGTCCCCAGCTGAGCTGACGGAGGAGCGGGGGTGGGCGGAGCCGCACTCCCCACCCTGGCCTGGGACCCACTGCGCCCTGCCCTGGAGGGTACTGAAGCATCAGGCGACCCTTGTGGCCGAGGCACATCCCCCCGAGACAGGTCGGGGCACAGCCGTGGGAACCGCCCGGAGCCCTGGGGTGCGTGGCAGCAGCCGGCCGAGAGCCACACGTGCTGCCTCCTGCTCGCTGGGAAGTCAGTGCCAGTGGCGCAGGGGGAAGAGCCCCAGCCCGCAGTGCCAGCATCCCACCAGCGCGCTGGTTCGAGTCCCAGCTGCTCCACTTCCCAGCCAGCTCTCTGCTGTTGCACCGGGAAGCCGCTGGAAGACGGCTCAGTCCTTGGGCCCTGCACCCACACAGGAGACCCTGAAGAAGCTCCTGGCTCCCGGCTTTGGGTCAGCGCAGCTCTGGCTGTCATGGCCATCTGGGGAGTGAACCTGCAGTGGAAAATCGATCTCTCTTTTCTCCGTGTTTCTCAGTCTTTCTGTAACTCGGTCATTCAAGTAAATAAAATATTAAAAAAACGGCGGCCGGGGGCTCAGGATGGGAGCAGACATGGTTTCACCATTGGCGCCGGCACGTGGCAGTGGGCTGCACACCTGCCCAGGTGCTGAGGAGCAAGCGGGAGGGGCCTGAGGAAGCAGAGCGGCTGGGGTGGGGTCCGCCGGCCTCGGGCAGGGCAGCTTCCCGAGAGCTGGCCGGGTGGCCCCGAGTCCCTGTCTCCAGCTGAGGGAGGGGCGGCGCTGTTTGGAGCGAGAGCTGAGCCCCGCCAGCACCCGCCAGGCCCGGGCGGTCCCCGCACTGCGGCTTCCCGGGTGCGGCAGGTCAGAGAGCCGGGTGCGGCCAGTGTGCGGCTTGGCGGGCTGAGCGTCCCACGTGGCTGCTCCACTTCCCATCCCGCTCCCCGCTCCTGGCTGGTGCGCCTGGGAAAGCTGTGGGAGACGGCCCGAGGGCCGCCCGTGTGGACGGAGCTCCTGGCTCCTGGCTCGGCCAGGCCCAGCCCTGATAGAGCCGCGGATGAGTCTCCTCTCTGTAACTCTTGGCTTTCAAATAAACAAACCAACCTGGGGAGGGCTGTGACTGCCAGGGAATCTCATTTCCCAGGAAGCTCCGCAGAGGCTCCTGGGAAGTCTGGCTGTCCCCGGCCATCCAGGAGAAAGGCCCGTCCACCCACACGGGGAGACGGGTGCTCTGAAGGGACCTGGTGACATCTGCCCCGGCCCCGACGCTGGCGCCTGTGGCCCCCGTGCCTGGACGGTGCTGCTGCTTCTCGCGGGTTCCCAGGTTTTCCTGTGCCGCCGGCACCTTCCCTGCACCGGAGCCAAGTGCTGGGTCGGTCGGGACTTTCTTCATCCTTCGGCTCCCAGAGCTCCCACGGGGAAGTCCCAGTGCCCTGGGCTCGGCCCGGGGACGTGAGGGCGGGGCCTCCGCGGCCGGGACTGAGGGTGCGGCCAGCTCTGCCGGAGGCCTGGGCTGGGCGAGGTCCGGCTCTGCTGGGGGCGCGGTGCCCCTGACATCCGGTAACGCTCGCTGCCACCTGGTGGACACCCGGGGGCGGTGCCGCGGGCGCGAGGACCCGGACAGGCACTCCCCGGCGGCAGGTGCAGCTCAGGGGTGACTGCACGCGGGCAGTCACCACCCTGGAGCGACGCCCCCACGCGAGCCGCGGCCGCCCTGCGCCTGGAGCTGCCGCAGGGTGTGGCTGGCGTCCACTGGGGTCTACAGCGTTGAATTCACGGCCGTCCCCGAGCGTCTCGGCGCGGCACAGTGGTGTTTGTGCAGCCAGCACCCTTGCCCACGCGTGCACACGGCCACCAGCGGTCACCCCAGCGCCCGCCCTCGGTCTGTGGTCTGCCTCGCTTTCCGGACCTGCGGGCTCTGAGCCGAGCTCCGCCCGTGTTGGCTGGGAGTCCGGCCGGTTCCGGTTCCGTTCACGCTGAGTGACTCCCACTGGGGGCAGGCGCTGCCCCGCTGAGGGGGCTGCCGTGCCACGCAGGACCGCCCTTGCCGGTCTGCTGCTCCCCCCCCAGCACACACCCAGCCCCAAGGCAGAGCGGGCGCCCCCACCCCACCCCACCCCACTTCCTTCCCATTTGTGTGTGTTTCAACAAAAACCCTTTTTAAAGGAAGATTGTTTTTATTTATTTGGAAGGGTAGAGAGACAAGATCTGCCACCTGCTGGTTCACTTTGCAAACGCCCTCCCGGGCCAGTGTCCCCGCGGTGCTCTAACCACTGGGCCACACGGCCTCCGTGTGTCTGGATTCCAGCGCCCTCGTGAGTGTGCACCACAGCTGGCGGATGGGAGAGGTGGCTTTTTTTTTTAATAAAAATATTATTTATTCATTTGAAAGCAGAGTCACATAGAGACAGAGGTCTGCCGCCTGCTGGTTCATTACCCAAATGGCCGCAACAGCCAGGGCTGGGCCAGGAGCCAGGAGCTTCCTCCAGGTCTCCCACGCGGGTGCAGGGGCCCAAGCACCTGGGCGGTCATCTGCGGCTTTCCCAGGTGCAGTAGCAGGACGCTGGATCGGAAGTGGAGCAGCCGGGACTGGAACCAGCGCCCATCTGGGATGTGGGTGTCGCAGGGGTGGGCTGAAGAACCAACGTCCACCCTGAAGGCTGCAGACCTCCCTGGAAACATGGCGGTGGTGCCCCTCCCCCAGCTGGGGGGGCCCTCGCTCCCACAGCACTGTCGCGGCCCCAGTGCAGCCCTCGGTCTCCCCTGGCTTCTCCACAGGGGAGAGGCCACCCCAAGATTCACACGAACTTGGGGGACCCAAGACACGTTTGAAAAAGAGGGTGGGCACGTGGCAGAGCGGCTGAGCCGCCACTGGGAACACCCGCGCCGGCTCCGTGGCCCTGACCGCTCCCTGGGGGGCAGTGGGGTGGCTCAAGTGCTCGGGTCCCTGCCACTCCCACCTACGCGGGGGCCCCGGCCGGCTGTGAGCCTGGCTTTGGCCCCGGCTCTTGTGGGCAGCTGTGGTGTGAACCAGCAGACGGGGAGCCCTCCCTCAAATAGAACGAAAATAAATTCATTAAAAATTGAAGAGAACAGAGCTGGACTCACACTTCCCCATTTCCTAACGTGGTGGATCCGGGGGGCGGAGCTGAGTCACGTGGACGCGGCCACGGCTTGCATGCGGGAAGAAAGGGCGGGGACCGCGGCCACCCACGCGCCAGAGCCAAACCCGCGAGGCTCAGCAGGAAACCACAGGCCTACACCTTCACGCCTCGGGCTGACGGCGGCACCAGCGGGAAGATCCAGGGGCCTCCTCACCATGTACCACGGCTGTGCCCGACGGCACCCAAGAAGTGCAGGGACCACCACAGAGAGGGCCGGGCGGCCGACGCCCAGAGTCCACGGGGAGCCCCGCCCCCGTCCCAGCTGAGCAGAGACCGGCTCACTCTGCCCCCCGGGCGCAGCCGGCCCCCACGGCCCGCCGAGGGCCGGCACTGCCAGCCACGGTGGCCGGCTGAGGTTGCAGCTTCGGGGTTGGTCCCGGCGTCACTGGAGGAAGCTGGGGGCTCCAGGGGTGCAGGGCAGGCCTGATGTGGCGGCCCCTCCTCCCCTGCCCCCAGCGGGTCCCTGCACATGTGACACCAGCTGGGGAGGACACGCCGGTCACACCATCCCCGCCGATGGGCCCCTTGACCCCTGCAGAGGCCTGGCTGAGGGTCTCGCTCCCGCACTGACCCCACCACCCGCCGGGCCAGGGGAGGAGCTGGTGGGGTCTCCCTGGCCACTGAGAAGCCCAGGTTGCCACGACAACACCAGCACCTGCTCAGCTGCTCCAGTGGCGGTGGGTGGGGCTCCCCAGGGGAGGTTCAGGGAGCCGGTGGCCCGCTCCCAAGCCCCCTCCTCTGCCCGCCAGCCCCTAGCCAGCTGCGCAGTTGACACACAGGTGCGTGGGTGATGGGTGGACAGCGTGGGTGACGGGCGGACACGTGGGTGACGGCCTGGCCCCAGGTAGGAGTCCGAGATGCCTGTCACAGCAAAGCCGCAGCCGAGCCAGGCACAGGTCCAGACCCCGGCCACGCCGACCCCGGCCACCTGCTGGCGTGGACCCCGCGAGGCAGAGGGGACGGCTCCGCTGGCTGGGTCTCTGCTGCCCACGTGGGCTCCTGGGGTCCTGCCCTGGCCACTTGGGGAGCGAGCCGGTGGGTGGGCGATGCCCCCCAGAACACAGGCTGGGCCTGGGCTGCTCTGACTACGGCTGAGGTGGTCACGGGCGCCCACCTCACGGGTGGTCTTGGCTGCCCTGCCTGCGGCTGGGCAATGGAGCGACAGGCAGACCCCCGTCCCAGCCCACAGCAGGCGCCCTCAGCTAGACGCCCCGGGGGCCTGGGGCGGAGCCAGCGAGCGCTGGGCACCGGGCGCCCCTCCCCCATGCAGGATGCAACCTAGCCCTTCCTGGGCGCCCCTCCCCGTCCAGTCCCACCTCCCCCTCCGTGTCCCTCGCCCAGAGGCTAGGGCGCCTCCCCATGAGATCGTCTGCCCCAGCCCTTCCCAGCTCTGCCCAGCGCGCAGCGGCTCCAGGCCTGTCCCTCCCTGGGTGTCTCCCGGACCCACACTCCCTTCTTGCGGAACCCAAGCTCTGCTACGAGGCTTTGCCGAGCTGCGCCCCCAGGGTCCGGGGCCCCAAGCCCAGGGACGACGGGAGGTCCTGCCCCGTAGCAGGACAGGCAGCCGCAGGCCAGCTGGCGTGGGCTCGGGTCTGCCCTGGGGTCAGGACAGAACAGGGTGGTGAACTCTGGGAGCCCACTTCCTGGACAGTGTGAGGCCCCAGGGAGGGTAGTGCACACACCACCGAGGGGTGCTGGGTGGAGCCAGCCGTGGCCCCAGGGTTGCCCACCCACTGCCAAGGGCTGGTGGGCGGGGCCAGCCCATGAAACGCTGCTGGGGCCCTGCAGCCACAGGCTGGGGAGGCCGACGTGGCCTGGACCACACTAGCCAGGGCCTGTGTGGCGCTGCCCCCACCCCGCCCAGCCGGGGGTCCCGCTCTGGAGAGACAGCTCACGGCCCGAGCAGGCCTCGCACTGAGACCGCCCTGGGGCGGCCAGGACCAGGCCAGGCAAGCAGCCGGCCCAGGAGCCTGAGGTCCCACCAGGTCCCCGAGAGGTGGGCAGAGGCGCTCCTGGTGGCCACAGCACAGCAAGGCCAAGGGCAGTCAGGACGAGGTCCAGGCTCAGCATCCTGACTCCGGAGGGGGCTGCCCACTCGCCCCTGGGCACTGCCTCCCGCCCAGCAGCCCTCCCTCGCGGTGGGGGCAGGGCCTTCGGCACCGGCCACCGGCCCTGCACACCCGTGCGCGTGACAGGCAGCCCGGGTCTCTGAGGGAGGGCAGCCGCCCGGAAGTGTCCTGGGGCCCAGGGCCGGGCCCCTCGCTGCCTTCCTGTCCACAGTGCCTCCAGGGTCGGGGGCACTGTGAGGGCAGGAGCCACACGCCAACCCCCCAGCCGGAGCGACGCCACGGTGCCACGTCCACGGAGGCCAGCTTTAATAGGGCCCACGGGGCTGGCCTGGGGAAGAGGGCCCCCGCCCCGTCCCTGGTGGCCTCTGCCCCGTGCTGCTCCATCGAGGTCGTCCAGCAACAGAGCCGGGTCCTGGGCTCAGGGGCTGGACGGCGGGCTGCCTCCGAGGGCGCAGGGCGCAGGGCGGGCCCCACCGCGGGCGCAGGGTCCCCTCGCCTCTGGAGGTCCTTTCTCGGCAGGTGCCAGGGCCACAGACGCCTGCGTCCCGGGGTTTCCGCTCCTCACCCACACGGAGCCCGGGCGCTGCGGGCAGGTGCCGGGGCCAGGCCGGGGAGGGGGCAGCGAGCGTACGGGAAGCAGGGGCGCTGGGCCGCCGCCGCCCAGAGGAGCTGCACGGGCGGGGCGGCAGTGTGGACAGCACCGGGGGTGGCCTGCGCCGCGGAGGCTGGGCTCGGCCCAGGGTTCAACGTCTCCGTTTCATCCAGGACGAGCAGGACGGCGGCGCGCGTGCGGCCCGACTCGGAGTCACGGGGCGTCCTGCAGTCGTGCCGGCGCGAGGCCCGGTGCCCTGGCCGCGGGAGGCAGCCCGGCCCGCTGCAGGCCTCCTGGGAGCCGTCCGAGGCTGCCGCGCGCCCAGACGACTGTGGGCCGGGCCCCGGGGAGTCCCAGGCGTCAGGAGGCCGCCACCAGCTCTGCCTGCCGGGGCCTGGCCTTGGCGGGGGCTTTTCCTGTAGAGCAAACAGGGACGCGTGACGCGTGGGGGCCCCGCGCAGGACTTCCTGACAGAGGCCGGGTCCATGCTGCCCGCCCCGGGGGCACAGCAGGCGCACCGGGGGCCCAGAGGCCCAGCCCCTCCCCCAGCAGAATCACCTGTGACTGCACAGTGCTCAGCATGGCCCTGGGACAGCCTAGGCCGGGCACAGCCACCCAGGGGACAGCACCCGGGGACAGCCACCCGGGGACAGCCAGGCCAGGGGTAGCCAGGCAAGGGGGCAGCTAGGCCAGGGGACAGCCAGGCTGGGGACAGCCACCCGGGGGACAGCCAGGCCGGGGACAGCCACCCCAGGGACAGCCACCCAGGGGACAGCCAGGCCGGGGACAGCCAGGCTGGGGCCGACTACCCGGGGACAGACACCCCGGGACAGCCACCCAGGGGACAGCTACCCGGGGACAGCCACCCAGGGGACAGCCACCCCAGGGACAGCCACCCGGGGGACAGCCAGGCCGGGGACAGCCACCCAGGGGACAGCCACCCGGGGACAGCCACCCCAGGGACAGCCACCCAGGGGACAGCCAGGCCGGGGACAGCCAGGCTGGGGCCGACTACCCGGGGACAGACACCCCGGGACAGCCACCCAGGGGACAGCCACCCAGGGGACAGCCAGGCCGGGGACAGCCACCCCAGGGACAGCCACCCAGGGGACAGCCACCCCAGGGACAGCCACCCCAGGGACAGCCAGGCTGGGGGAAGCCAGGCCGGGGGACAGGGTGCGTGGCTGTTTTCCACGGCGCCTCCCAGCGGGCAGGGAAGGTGGGGCCCCCTGGGACCTGCCGACCCCGCCAGAGCACAGGGCGGTACCTGGCGTCTCCTCCAGGAGGGGCTCCGTGGGGACCTCCGGCAGCTCGAGCTGCTCCTGCGGGGGAGGGCGAGGACGGGAGAGCCGCTTCAGGCGCCGGGGAGGCCACGGCCATGGCCACGGCCACGGCGGCTCTCCAACAGGCCCTGGGACGCTGAGGGGCTGTGACGACCCCTGACCCCCGGGATCTCCCAAGACCCTGGCTCACGAGGAGCGGGCCAGGCCTGGGCCGCGGGCTGCTCTGGTGTCCACAGGTCGGATGGCCACGGTGGCACCAGGGTCACCTCGCAGCCTGTCCTCCTGAGGGGGGCGCACACAGACGCCGAGTGCTCCGAGCGGCAGCCAGGACTGCCCCTCCTGGCCACGCCCCAGGCAGCTCTGGGGCCACGAGGAGCTGGCAAACCAATGGGCAGCGGGGCGCAGACAGGAAGCCCCCGTCAGGGAGCCAACAGCCCCCAGAGCCTGGCTGGGGCAGGAGTGGAGACGCCGGCACAGGTGCACGTAACCCCGCGAGCCTCGGTGCAGGGGAGGGGCCGGGCGGCCTGGCTGGGTACAGCCGTGGGTGGTGTCGGGAAGGGGAAGAGGCCGTGGCGGGGGCCTACCTGAGTGATGGCGTCCAGCTCCGCCAGGATGGCGTCCTCGTCCTCCTGCGTGAAGCTCCCCGCCAGCAGCTCGTCGATTTGCTGCAGGGGGAGTGGCGGTGAGGCGTGGCGGGCGGGGCCGAGGGGCCCTCGGGGCCCGGCTGCGGGTCAGCGTGTCCCCCACGTGAGACGGGGCACCGCGGGCAGCGGAGCCGTCCCGGGCTCGGCGGCCACTCACCCGCTGGTACTGCACGGCGTCCTGCGTCTCATCCAGGATCCGCTCCACCTCTTCGATGGACATCACCTGGAGACGGCCAAGAACAGGGCCGGCGCCGGTCGGCGGGGGGACGCTGGCCGCTGCGACGGCCGCCCGGGTTTGTGGCTCGGGCCTCGGCCTCCGGCCTGCTACGCAGAAGCCAGGCCGGGCCCCCAGGGCTCCCGAGGCTCCATGTTCGGTGCGGGCGGACCTGCCCCGGCCTCGGCCTTCCAGTGGGCCTCACGCCACGGCCTCCCATGCCAGCTGGGGCCGGGAGGGGCCGGGCAGCCGGCAGAGGCGCCTCGCTTCCCCTCCGTCCAGGCCCAGGCGAGAGCCAGCTCCGGGCGGGCGGCCTGCGGGGCTCAGGGGAGCGTCCCCGCTTTGTGGGTCTCGGCTCCCAGGCCCCGCCCCGCCCCGGCGGCCTCTCCCCGGCGGCCCCGCCCCACCCCGGCCAGCCCCGCCCCAGCGGCCCCGCCCCGCCCCGCCCCGGCGGCCCCGCCCCGCCCCGCCCCCGCCTCGCCCCGCCCCGCCTACCTGGTGCATCTTGTTGAGACACTCGTTCCCGGCCTGCAGCCCTTCCAGCACCTTCATCTCGATCTGGGCGAACTCGATGTTCTGGACCTGGCGGGGTCAGGAGCGCGTCGGGGCAGGCTCGGGGCACCAGGGCCACCCTGCCCACCGCCCAGCGGGCACAGGCCTGGGGCGTTCCGGCCAGCTCAGGCCCGCCGCCAGGGGCCTCATGCAGCCCCCGTCCGGGGCACACCCGGGCCTGCAGACGGCTTCCGGAGCCCCCGGGCCGGCCGCGGGGACGCCGCGTGCAGCCGCCTACCATGGCCTCCAGGCTGCTGATCTGGGTCTCGGTCTTGTCCAGCAGCTGCTCGCGGTACCGCTTCTTCTTCAGCAGCAGCTTGGCCCGCCTGCGGAGGAGGCTCGGGCAGTGACCAGTGACCGCTGCGCCCACCCCCGGGCCCACCACTCCTTCCTGCGGCTCCGCCCTGCCCCACCCCTGGCCCCTCACTCCTTCCCGCCCCGGCCCGCCCTCCTTCCCGCCCCGGCCCCACCCCTGGCCCGGCCCCGCCCCCTCACTCCTTCTGGCCCCAGCCCCGCCCCCACCCTCCTTCCCGCCCCTAACTCCTTCCTGCCGCCCCTGGCCCCGCCCACTCCTTCCTGTCGTCCAGTCCCTGGCCCTGCCCCCTGCCCCGCCCCTCACTCCTCCCAGCCCCGGCCCCGCCCCCGGTCTGCCCCTCACACCTTCCGGCCGTCCCGCCCCGCCCTCCTTCCCGCCCCCGCCCCTCACTCCTTCCCGTCCCAGGCCCCACCCCTGGCCCCGCCCCCACTCCTTTTCGCCCCGGCCCCGCCCCCGCCCCGCCCCGGCCCCCGCCCCTCACTCTTTCTGGCCATCCCGCCCAGGACCCGCCCCCGCCCCGCCCCTCACTCCTTCCCGCCCCGGCCCCGCCCCCGGCCCGCCCCTCACTCTTTCCGGCAGTCCCTCCCAGGCCCCGCCCCGCCCTCCTTCCCGCCCCCGCCCCGCCCTCCTTCCCGCCCCCGCCCCGTACTCCTTCCCGCCCCGCCCCTCACTCCTTCCCGCCCCTGCCCCGCCCTCCTTCCCGCCCCCGCCCCGCCCTCCTTCCCGCCCCGGCCCGCCCCCGGCCCGCCCCTCACTCCTTCCGGCCGTCCCGCAGCAGCTGCCGCGCCAGCGCCCGCTCCCGCTCCAGCTGCTGGGCGACCCTCCTCTGGTACTGCTTCAGCTTGTCGCGCTGCTGCTTCAGTTGCTGCGGGGAACGCCAGGTCAGCCCGGCCACCAGCAGGGGGCGCTGCCCGCAGGCGCCACCTGGTCCTGCGTCCTGGGCCAGCCCCAGCCGGGCACGGAGTCGCGCGCACGGCGGCGTGGCCCCCAGCCCTCCCCGGTCACGGGGGGCTGCAGGCCGGCTGCCCGCGAGGACCCACGGCGGCTCGGCCCTTCCCAGTGTCGCCGTCCGGATGCGGGGGGGGGGGGGCAGGCCCTGTCTCTAGCCGGGACCAGCGCGGGGGGCTGGGCGGGGCTCTGCGCCCTGCGCTGCGGCGGTGCCCACTCTGCCACCCCAGCCTTCAGAGGCCGCGTGGCCGGAGCCCGCGGGGGCCACGGCCTCGGGCTGGACACCGGGTCCTGTCTCAGGTCAGAGAGAGGCCCGAGGCAGGGGGCTTGGCTGCGGGCTCAGACCCCACCCGGGCTGCCCGCGCCCCGGGGCCCTGCACCCACGTGGGGGCCCGCCGGCTCCCGGCGGGGACCTGGGGCGGACCCGCGGACGGAAGCCGACCCCTCCGCCAGTCCCCCGGGAAAACGGGGGCGCCGGGCGGCCACACTGCCCCTTGGGGCGGGCGCCTGCCGGGCCTGCCCCCCAGCCCAGGAAACGCGTGACCGCCGCCCCTTCGGGGTGCGGGCACCGCCCTCCGCCCGCGCCACGGCCCTGGGGACCCCCGGGCGGCCGGCGCACGGGGTCCCCCACCTGCTGCCCCGCAGGACCGGACCAGGCCCCGGCCACGCCCACCGAGGCCTCCCGCCCGCGCCCGGGCCGGCCCCTCACCAGGATGGCCTTGTCCTGCTCGGTCACCCGGCTCTGCTTCTTGCGGCCGAACAGGTTGCCCATGACGGCGCCGCACGGCCCCGCGCCCCCGCCCGGCGCGCCCCGGCCCGGCTCGCCCGATCGCCGCCGCCTCGCGGCCGCCGTCGGAGGCGGAGCTCGGACGACGGCGGCCGCGCGGGGCCGTGCGCCGCGGAACGCGAAGTCGCGCGCCCGCCCGCCCCGGCGCGCCTCGGGTTCGAGTCCGCGGGCCGGGCGGGCGGCGGCGCGGGTCATCCGACGTGCTTTCTGCGCAGCCCAGCCCCGCAAAAGACCACGCTGGCCGAGACGGGCGGGCGGGTGTAGACAGATAGGAAGTTGAGTTCAAGTTCACGGCGCCGGCACCAGCAAGTGTCCACTGGACATTTTGGACTCAGAGTATTTTTTTTAATATTTATTTTATCTATTTGAAAGACAGTTACAGAGAAAGGTAGAGACAGAGAGAGATTTTCCATCCTTCAGTTCACTCCCCAGATGGCCGCAATGGTTGGAGCTGCGCCAATCCGAAGCCAGGAGCTTCTTCTGGGTCCCCCCCGTGGGTGCAGGGGCCCAAGGACTTGGCCATCCTCCACTGCTTTCCCAGGCCGCAACAGAGAGCTGGATCGGAAGTGGAGCAGCCGGGACTCGAACCTGTGAGCATATGGGATGCCGGCGCTTCAGGCCAGGGCTTTAACCCGCTGCGGCACAGCGCCAGCCCCTGGACTCAGAACCGCGCGGCCGCTGCTTCTCCCACCGCAGCCGGGGCTCCCGTCCCTGGGGGTCGGTGCCAGGGAGGCCAGCGGGGCTGCTGACCCCCTCGGGAGAGGACGCGGCCCCTTGCTTCCTCGTCCCTGGTTTCTGCCCGGGATCCACCCAGCCTCTGTCTAGACGCAGGGCCAGGTTACGTGGGAGGGAGGGGTCCTCTGGCCCCCTGGAGCCCTCCCACCTCGCCTGCCCTGGGGCAGACCTGGGCGGGGCTGCGGGAAGGGTCTGTGGGCTCCTGGGGCCGCTCCCATCAGCCCCCGGGGTGTTCTGGGGCCCCGGGAACCGGCGGCCAGCTGGGAGCCAGTGTGTTGTGTGGGCACTTGCGGCCGGGAGCAGGTGCATGTCCCCGGGGGGCCTGCGGCCGGAGCAGGTGCATGTCCCCGGGGGGCCTGGCTGAGAGCTGAGGCCCCGCCGCCTGCCCCCGCCTCGGGGGCTGCCGACTGTCAGCCTAGAGGTCTTGTTCCGTCACCCCGGGGAGCGGGAGCCCGGCCGTGGGGTGAGCGGGGCCCTGCAGGCTCGGCCTCCTGGCTTCGGCGCCCGGGTGTGCGGGCCGGCCTCCGCCATCTGGCCAGGACTCAGATTCCGAGTTTCCGTGGACCAGCAGTGAGACGGGGCCCAGCGCCCCCACCCCGGCCCCGGGCTCAGGGGTCCCTGCCCCAGCACAGCCCCCAGCCCAGCTCCCCCGGAGCCCACCCCACATGGACCCGCGTCTCTGCCAACGCCTGCGCGCTGCGCGGAACTCGGCCAGGCTCCACCTGGTGCCCACTCTCGGTAGTACAGCTGGGAGCTACGCGAGGTTCTACACTTGTACAGGGTTGTAAAATACACACACGCACGTGCACACACACGTGCACACAGGCACATGCAGACACATGCATGCAGACACGTGCGCGTGCACGCACAGATACATGCGTGCACACGTGTGCATATGTGTAGACAAGTGCGCAAGACACACGTGCACACACATGCAGACACGTGTGCACACACCATGTGAACACACAGAAGCAGCGTGCGTGCACATGCATGCACATAGATGTGCACAGAATCACGCGTGCTCACAGACACGTGCGAAGACACACGCACAAGTACGTGCACACACGTGCATGCATGGACACACGTGCAGAAACATGCTTGCACAGGTATGTGCACACGCTCATGTGTGCACGTGCAGACACAGATGTGCACAGAGAATCATACGTGCACACACAATGCGTGCACACACATGCACCCAGAGACACACATGTCCACAAGACACATGGGTACACACATGCACACAAACATACATGCGCAGACGTGTGCACAGGATCATGTGCACAGACACATGTGCAAAGACATGCACACGCAAGCATGCAGACGTGCACACACAGAACCATACACGCACACATAATACAGACACATGCGTGTGCACACATGCACGCAGACACATGTGTGCGCCCAGACACACGCACCCACAGAGACACACATGTGCACACACATCTGCATGCGCGGACACACGCACACAGCACCGGGGGGGGGGGACCGCAGGTGGCCCCCGAGGTCTCGACCGTCGCGGCGGGGTCCCTTCCGGGAAACGCCCACCCCCGCGCGGCTGTCCGGCCGCCCCGCGGGCAGCGGCCTCCCTCGGGGTCCGCCCGGGCCCAGGACGCGACTCCCCGCGGAGCCCCCACGCCTTCCTGCGCCCTGGGGCTGCGCTCGGGGCCCCCATGGCCAGCTGAGGCCGCTCCCCGAGCCCACGCGCCCCGCCCACGTCCCCGGCACCACGACGCGCGCGGGGGACGCGTGGGCTCCGTGAGGAACGCACGCACCTGCAGCCCCGCACAGACGGACGCGGGAGCGTTTCCGTCGGCCTCTGTTCGCGCGAGACGGGCGGGGAGACCCCCACGGAGAGTGGACGGGGGCTGCAGCTGCCCCAGGGGTCTCGGGTGGGGTCAGGTTCAGATGGAGGCTGTAGGGGGCGGGGCAGAGAATAAGAGGGGCCCAAGGAACATTCTGGAATAAGACAACGGTCAAGGCCAATTCTCAACATCTGATGCCGGCGCACGGCTGTGGGCGTCGGAGGGGACCCGCTCGCCTGGGGCTCGACCTGGGCCCGCTGACCCTGGACGGACGGCGACCCCGCCCGGAGGGCCGGGAAAGGCGGGGGGCACGGGCGGCCCAGCGAGCTGACCCCCGCCCTCCAGGTCCCCTGCGCGGCCGGCCCGGCGGCGACCTTCGCGACAACCACGCGGTGGCGCTGCAGGACCGCGGACGCCGGGCGGACCCCACGTCCCCCACACCGGCGGGAGGGCCCGGCGGAGCCTGGCGGTCGGGCAGCGGCTCCCGGGGTCCTCGGTGGGACCCGCCTGGGCGCGGTGAGGCCGCCCGCTCGCCTCGGCACCTGCCCCGGTGTGCGGGCGGCGGGGAGCGGGTGGTGGTCGGTGATGGCGGCTCGTGAGTCCCGGTGAGAGCAGGCGGAGGTGCGCCGGGGCCCCAGCACCCCGTGCGTTTCACGGGGGGACCGAGGTGGGGCCGCAGGGGCCGCTGGCCACGGCGGACTCGGAGCCGAGAGCTTGCAGGGCCCTGGAGGGGACCTGGCTGTGGCTGGGGTTGTGCGCGGCCCTGGGCTGGTGTGGGGAGGGGTGAGAAGGCCTTGGGGCGCAGGGGGTCCCGGCAGGGGAGGATGCCAGCCCAGCCTCACTCTGTGGGGGCCACCTGCCTCTCCCATCTCCCACGGAGCGGTCTCCCTACCCCGCGGAGAATCCAGGGGTCAGGGTGAGCCCTGGGGTGCAGCAGGTCAAGCTGCTGTGTGCGATGCCCCCACCCCATGTGGGCGCCGGTTCGATTCCCGGCTGCTCCACTTCGACCCAGCTCTCTGCTGTGGCCTGGGAAAGCAGGGGACGATGGCCCAAGTGCTTGGGCCCCTGCACCCGCGTGGGAGACCCGAGTGAGCTCCTGGCTTTGGCCTGGCCTTTGCGGCCATCTGGGGAGGGACCCAGTGGATGGAAGACCTCTGTCTCTCTGTAAATTGCCTTTCAAATAAAATAAAATTTAAAAAGGACCTTCCTCTCAAATAAAATAAATAAATGAATCTTAAAACCAAAGCGCAGGAGCCTCCACCGCCTGTGTTGTAGCTTCTCACCCCTGCTGAGTCGGCCTGCTTGGCTGCAGGTGGCTGGGGTCTGAGGCCCCCCTGGCCCCGCAGTCCGGCGAAGGGGCGAGGCTGGGCTCAGAGCCCAGGTCCGGAGGAGGCCGCCCCACCCCACTCCAGGGCAGGTGCAGCCCGTCCCCGCAGCTGGGGGTCTCTCGGGGGGGGGGCCCTGGAGCTGTGGTCTTTGCGGCCTGGGCCTCAGCGGTGCCCTGGGGAGGGGTTTGGCTGTACCGCACCCAGCACCTGGCGCACCGACACCCCCCCCCCCGTCTCCACATGCTGGGTGCAGGGAGGCCTCACCCAAGTTCTGGGTCCTCAGTCTGCCCTCACCCCCGGGGCCCGCCTGGCTCCCACCCTGCTCCCCGCCTCCCCCAGCAGCTGTGAGGTCCCTGGGGCAGGCTGCTCTGCTGGCCCCATGGCCTCTGCCCCCAGTGCTGGCCTCTTCCGCGGAGGCGTCTCCTGGCTGGCGGCTGAGCCGTGTGTGGGGAGGGAGAAGCCCCCGCCCGGGCACGGGGGCCCTGGGGGAGGGGCTGTGGAGCACGCGGGCCTTGGGGACACAAAGCCTGGCCCCCAGCTGGGGCCAAGGAGGCCTGTGCTTCAGGGCTGTGGTCAGCGTCCCCAGGGCCTCTCTGATCCCCTGGACGCACTGCAGAGGTGCGACCGGCTGCAGGCGCGGGTGGCAGACACCAACACACGCCTCCCTGAGCCCCTGCCAGAGCCCCCGCCCACGCCACGGGCCCTCCCCAGGGCCGTCTGCCGGAATCCGGGCAGGGGACGGTGACGGACACGTGGAGGTGGAGGCGACCACGGCCCCAGGCACAGCGAGGCAGTCACGGGTTCCTGGATGGGGACGTGACAGGCGTCTTCGAGCCAGGCCCTTCCCACACCGGGGAGGGGATGCCCAGGCCCCACTGCGGAGAGGCGGCTACCCGTCCCCTGTTGGCTCTGTGCTCGGCAGGACGGCCACGACCGCCTGTCCCTGCGTGTCCCCAGGGCTGCCCGTGTGGCTGAGGGGTGGCTGGACCACGGCCCTGGCTGCAGCCGCCCCAGCCTGCCCCTCGTTTTTATGACCTCTCAATTTGTTCGCAAGTCCTGGTGACAGAAAAAAAACCGATGCTAATAGGAAAAAGATTACTCTCAACAAGGCTCGGCCAGCACAGCCCTGGAGATGCCAGGGGTCCTCCATGTTGCAAACAAACCGGAATTTAATAATTCCAGCCATTAGGCCTCCGGTTCCCATGGCAACTGCTGCCTCCCGCCTTCCAGGCCAGGGCGGGAGGGCTGGGCACCGATTCCGGTCCTCATGCATCCGCCCCCGGCAGCCAGTGCCTGGGACCTGCTGCTGGGGGCTGCAGCGGCCCCCTGGCCCCAAGGGGCAAGGGACACCGGGCACCGTGGCCAACCTGCCACACCACAGGGCTCTGCAGGCTGGAAAACAAGGTGTGTGAGGTGTGCCTTTGGGGGCTGGCCCCTCTGACCCAGCCCCAGCCCACGCCGGCATCCTGCTGGGCCCCAGCACCGGGTGTGGGAAGGGCCTCGGCTCGATGAAGCGGTCACGTCCCCATCCGGGACCCGTGACTGCCTCGCTGTGCCTGGCAGGGGCCGAGGCGCTCGCCGGCGGGAGGCGGGGTCAGGCCAGCTGAGGCCCCGTGCCACTGGGGGGGGGGCGGGGGGGCGCCTGGGCGGATTCCTCCCTGGCCTTGGGGAGGAGCCAGCCCTGGTGGCAGCCCAGGGACACTTGTATCAGTTTCAGACCCTGGGAGAGTAACTTTGTGTTCTTGGAAAAAAGAAACAAACAGCAAAGTTTGCAACTAAATTTAGTGCGTGTTCTTGGAGAGCTGTCCAGGGAAGGCACTGGGCCCTCGCACTGGTCCCCGGCTGCCGGCCAATGTGACCTTGGCTGCCCACGGCCATGCCAGGCCCCACGGGGCCCGTGCCTGCAGGGAGCAACTGGACAAGGTCTCCGTGGGACTCCCATGGGCCCGCGAGCCCTGCCCGGCCCCTCGGCAGGGGCTGCTCCAGTGGGTGCTCTGCTGGTAACAGATCAGGCTGGGAGTGCGCTTTCAAGCAAGGACACCCTGACACGGGAAGGGCCAGCCGGGCCGGGAGGCCGCGCCACTTCCCACCCAGCTCCCTGCTGGTGCACCTGGGAGGGGAGGGCCCGAGCGCCAGGCCCCGGATGGAGCTCCAGGCTCCTGGCTGCAGCCCGGCCCCGCCCCAGCCCTCGGAGCCATTGGGGAGTGGACCAGCGGCTCCTCCTTCATTCTTTCAAATACACAAATCTTTTTTTTTTTCTGGCACAGAGTTGGGGGCTGGCGCTGGCGCGATCGGGCTAAGCCGGGCTTGTGACAGCTGCTCTGCCTGGGATCCGGCTGCGGCTCAGGCCCCTGGGAGGCCGCGGCGATGGCCCAGGTGCAGGCGCTCGGCCCGCACCCGTGGGAGACCCGGATGGAGCTCCGCCCACCCTGGCTGCTGTGGGTTCAGGGACGAGCAGCAGACGAAGCTGGCACACGACGGGACCGCGCCGGCACTTCTGCACGGGTTTATTTTATGGACAGTTACTGTCGGCCGTTGCTCGTAGCTTCACATTACGATTCCACGTCAGCTTCGTAAATAAATAGAGATAAACAGACCGTGGGTCGCGCTCTCTCGAGCCTCGGGTAACTTCATGATTGGATTCTCGCGTGGGACCTGTGGGGACACAGCGTGCACGCAGGCGGCTCTCGGGCAGAGCAGGGAGGGCTCCGTGCACGCGGCCGAAACGCAGGGTAGGTCAGGGTCAGTGAACCGAGTCAGCCGCGGGGGCAGGCGCTGTCCGTGGGCGGAGCTCGGCTTCCGGAAGGTTCTGGTGTGTCACCAGCTGGGGGCTCTGGGGGCTGGGCTAGGGCGGCCCCGTGGGCAGTCGGGGCTCTCTCTGGCCTTCCTGGCCTGACGTGGGGGCGGGGCTTCATCCGGACACTTCCTGTGGCTGGGAGCACCCCCAGGGGCAGCAGGAAGGTCGCTGTCCACACCGAGCCCTGGCCGGGCCCTGGGACCGACCCAGGCACCGCCGGCCGCAGGGCCCCAGGCAGAAGCCACCGTCCCGACGAGGGGACCGCACGTTTGCCACGTCCCACCACGCAGGCCACCTACCGGCAGAGCCAGCCAAGCCCCCGCGCCGCATCTGAATAATCCTGATTCCCAGAGAAAACGGAACACGCGCCTCAGACCGCGTCGGCCGCGTCCGTGTGCAGCGTGGTCGGCCGGGGCTGCTCGTCCACACGCTTCCCTGCTCCACGCGCGCACACGCGATGCACACGCAACGCACACGCGCAGACACGTCCTGATGTCGGCCTCAGCGAGCAGGGCCCAGGGTGTGGCTCAGGCAGGTGCTGTGGGGCCACACGTGTGTGCCCGCGTGCGTGTGCACCGTGAGGCGCAGGCCGGAGGCTCTGTGGGGACCAGCAGCACGTCCGAGGGGGCGGCGGGGTCTCCCGGGACCTGTCCAGGCCGGAGCCCTCTCCTGGTGGCCCCCTGTGGGGAAGGCGCGTGTGGGGGAGGGGCGCCTGCCCAGCACAGGCCGTGGCAACCCCGGGGGACCCCCAGAGGGCGTGGCCCTGGGCACCCCCCCAGTGTCTGGAGCCGTCCACGTGCCCAGGGCTGGGCTCCGCACACGCAGTGGCCGTCGCAGCGTGGGTGTGCTCCCGAGGGGAGGGGAGCCCGGGGGCAGCAGCAGCAGGGCCTGCGTCACGGCGGGCCTCCTCTGTCCGGAGCCGAGCGGCCGCGGAGCGGCGGGCAGCAGCAGCCGGCGCTCCAGGCGAGCGCGGCGGGTCCACTATGTACAGGGCGGCGGGTGCCCGGCCCCGCTATCTCACGCGCTTCTCCACCGAGTACACGGAGATGTAGTAGTCGTTGCTCCCCACGGCCAGGTGAGGCTGCGAGAGGACACAGAGCCGTGAGCGGGCGCCCGGCCCAGCGTGCCCCCCCCGGCCCTGGCAGCTGCCCAGCGTGCCTCCCGACACTGACCCAGCAGTGCCCCAGCGGCCACCCCCAGGCCTGGCAGTGCCCCACCCCCGGCCCAGTGTGTCCCCCAGGGCCTGGCAGTGCTCTCCCCTCGGGCCCAGCGGCTGCCCAGTGTGGCCCCCAGCGTGGACCCAGCGGCGGCCCAGCAAGCCCCCCGACACTGGGCCCAGGCGCTGCCGGCCTCCACGGGCCCTCACTGGGTCTGCACGCGACCCCCCAGGGACTGCTCTGGCAAAGCGCCCGGCGCCTCAGCAGAGCCACAGGCAGGCCCCCTCCCCGGTGCTGGGAGGAGCTGGAGGATCCCGTGTCACAGCCGCAGCCCACAGCCATGGAGCCGGCGTACTGAGGACAGACGCGCGGCCCGTGCTCCCGGGTGCTCCCTCGTTGGGGAGGCTGGGGCGGGGGACGGACGCTTCCCGGGGCTGCATCAGTGCAGGGGCCAAAGGACAGGGCCGTCCACCCCTGGTGCGGGCTTTCCTGCCTGAGTGACAAAGGCCTGGGGGGTCCAGAGAGTGAGGGCGGGGCTGCTGGCCCTGGAGGCAGGCACGCGGGCAGCCCCTGCCTGGTGACCCGGGCCTGGAGTCACGGGCAGCCCCCGGCCCTGGAGGCAGGCACGCGGGCAGCCCCCAGCCCTGGAGGCAGGCACGCGGGCAGACCCCGGCCCTGGAGGCAGGCATACGGGCAGACCCCGGCCCTGGAGGCAGGCACGCGGGCAGCCCCCGGTCCTGGAGGCAGGCACGCGGGCAGCCCCCGGCCCTGGAGGCAGGCACGCGGGCAGCCCCCGGCCCTGGAGGCAGGCACGCGGGCAGACCCCGGCCCTGGAGGCAGGCACGCGGGCAGCCCCCGGCCCTGGAGGCAGGCACGCGGGCAGACCCCCGGCCCTGGAGGCAGGCATGCGGGCAGACCCCAGCCCTGGAGGCAGGCATGCGGGCAGACCCCAGCCCTGGAGGCAGGCACGCGGGCAGACCCCGGCCCAGTGGCTGCCGGCAGCAGGTCCTGCCCGCCCGGCGGGGACTGACCCAGTGCGGGTGGAAGGCCAGGCAGCTGATGGCGCCCACGCGCTGGCCCATGAAGCCGTCGTAGTACTTGATGTTGTTGATGAGCTCCCCGTTGCTGTTGTAGATGGCGGTGAACTGGTTCATGGAGCCGCTGCGGGGGAGGGGAGAGGGTGGGAAGAGGGAAGGGCCCAGGGCCCGCGGCCGGAGGGACCCCCGCCCAGGTCCCTGGACGGGGCAGCGGTAGGCGGGGACCAGAGGACTTGAGGCTCCAGCCCTGAGATGCCTCAGTGTCCTGGGAGGAAGAGGCTCTGACCTCAGAGAACACGCCCCGCAGGGGCGGGGCAGGGGTGGGGCCCTGGAGGGGCGGGGCTCTGGTGTGGAGGGGGCGGGGCTGGGAGGTCCTCTAATATGGAGGGGGCAGGGCGGGGCCTCTGGTGTGGAGGGGGCGGGGCTGGGAGGTCCTCTAATAAAGAGAGGGGGGCTGGGGCCGGGGCCTCTGGTGTGCAGGGGGCGGGGCTGGGAGGTCCTCTAATAAAGAGAGGGGGCTGGGGCCGGGGCTGGGGGGCACCTACCAGGCGATCAGGTTGGCCTGGGGGTGGATGTCCAGGGCCGTGAGGCCCCTCACGATCTGCAACACGTTCACAGACTCCGGCATCCGCGGGTCAAAGAAGCGCACGTCTCCATTAACGCTGTGGGGAGACCCAGGGTGGCCTCGTGTGGGGCCCGGCTGTGCGGTACAGGACCCGGGTACCCCCCGGAATCTGGGGTGTAGGGTACAGGACCAGGCACCCCCGCCTGGAATCTGGGGTGTAGGGTACAGGACCGAGCACCCCCGCCTGGAATCTGGGGTGTAGGGTACAGGACCGAGCACCCCCGCCTGGAATCTGGGGTGTAGGGTACAGGACCGGGCACCCCCGCCTGGGGCCTGGCTGTGGGGTACAGGACCAGGCACCCCCACCTGGAATCTGGGGTGTAGGGTACAGGACCAGGCACCCCCCAGAATCTGGGGTGTAGGGTACAGGACCGGGCACCCCCGCCTGGGGCCTGGCTGTGGGGTACAGGACCAGGCACCCCCACCTGGAATCTGGGGTGTAGGGTACAGGACCAGGCACCCCCCAGAATCTGGGGTGTAGGGTACAGGACCGGGCACCCCCGCCTGGGGCCTGGCTGTGGGGTACAGGACCAGGCACCCCCACCTGGAATCGGGTGTGGGGTGCAGTGACCCTGAACGTGTGGAACTGTCCACACACAGGCCAAGCGCCCGAGGCCACACCCCAGTCCCAGCTCCGTGTGTGGGGCGCGGGGTGTCTGCTGACCAGGACCCAGAGCGCTCGGCAAAGCTGTGCGAGGGCAGGCAGGCTGCTGGCCCCTCCCCCAGGTCACAGCCGCGGGGCTCCCTGTCACTCGGGCTGGGCCTCCCCAGGTCGCCGGCCGGCCTCTGCCTCCGCTCCGGCATCTCACCCCCCCCCCCATGATTTGTTTCATGGCTCGCACGGTGGGAGAGCTGCCCCTCTTGGAGGGACGGTGGCTCTGCGACAGGGAATTCGTTTGCCGTCCCTCTAACAGGTGAACGCACGCGCTGCCAGCAGCGCTTACACAGCCCCCCCTGCCTGCCCCGCGCCCCGCCTCCCAGTGCCGAGTGGTTGTAAGGCGGGGGGAGGGCTCCACGCCCCACGCCCCATCCCCCCGCGTCTCCGGACCCCCTCCTCACCTCACGCTCACGATGTGGCCCTCCGGGCGTTTCTGGAGGTGGGCCTTCACCACCCAGGCCGTGTGCTCCCGGTACGTCATGACGCGGCTGTGGGGAGACCGAGTCAGGCCGGGGGCCGCGGGCGGCCTGGCCCGCCTCTGGCACCTGCGTGGGGGGTGTGCACGGGCAGGAGTGGACTGCGTGTGCAGGCTCACAGCAGCCGGGCCCCACCCTGTCCCCGTGCGGGGATGAAGCTCCCTCCCGGGACCCCTCCGTCTCCCTTGGGCCTGCACTGTGCCGGACGGGCTCTGGCCCGATCAGCCTGCTTCTCCAGGTCGTGGGGCGGTCAGCAGAGAGGACCCCAGCCCCCAGGCGGTGGGACAAGGGCCTCGGGCCCGGGACCAGCCGCACCTAGAGCAGCGCCACAGCCTGGGACTGAGACCCGGTGGGCACCTGCACGGCCTCCGCCCCCAGGCGTCAGGAGGGACGGGCGTGACCCCTGCTCTCAGACCACGTCAGCGTGCTCACGGGGCAGTGCCCCTCAGCCCAGGACACTTCCGTGACCCTGAACACACCAGCAGTCGCTCAGCTGGGGTGGGAGGGGCCTGCAGCCTGCGGCTGGGGTGGGAGGGGCCTGCGGCCACGCTCGCCACCCGCCCTCAGCAGCCCCATTTAATGGCCCAGCTCAGTCCCAGCTCCATCTGGTCCCACTGGGCCCACTCAGAGGCCCCTTCTGCTCACAGCGGCTGTGCCCTGTGTCTCCCGTCTGTGCCAGGCCAGGGCGTGGTAGGTGTTGAGGACCCTGGGCTGTCCACACCTGGGCCCAGTGATGGCTGCACCTCCCGCAGGGTGTCCCTGAGCCTCCTCTCATCCCTGCCAGCCTCTCAGCACCACGCGGTGCCCATGTGTGCCCCAGACCCTGCCTCCTCAGCCGCTCACCCTGGCAACCTGGGGGCCGCGGGGGCACGGGCACATCCCAGGGGGCCTGTGCACCCCGCTCCTCCTGGCCGGCTCTGGGTGGCCGGCTCCAGTGGGCTTCAGTGGTCCCGCTGGACCCCGGGGGAGACTTCAGTCTTGCCGCGCACTGCGCACAGCGGACTGGCCGTGAGGGGACCTCGGCCCTGGGGCAGGTGTGTGTGCGGGGCGGCCGGGCGCTGAGTTACCATTCACTGAGTGCCATCCTCCGGTCGTAGACGCGGATGGAGCCGTCGCCGAGGCCGGCCACGATGAGAGAGCGGTGGGAGTCGCAGGACAGGCTCGTCACGCAGCTGTCGGCGCCCGTGGGGATGTCCTAGGGCCAAGCACACAGCCCGTGAGAACGGAGGCTCTGCGCCCGGGTCCACGTCCCAGCTGGCCTGGACCCGGGTGCTGCAGGGAGTGGAGACAGGCAGGGCTCCCAGGGGAGGGAGCCGTGGCCTCACCATCAGTGTCTGCCCTGGTGGCCCCGAGTGCCTCATCCGGTGACAGGTACAGAACACGGGGCCCTGGCGGCCACCAGGGAGGTTCCTACCAACATTCCCTTATCCCACAGAGAGGAAGTGTGGTCCCCACTGGCACCCTGGTGAGCTGTAGCCAGCGGAGGCAGCCTGGGCCTGTGCAGGCAGAGCCAGGGCCAGGAGCAGAGGGCAGGGCGGGGAGGCTGCCACAGAGCACCTTCCCGCCAGGGCGGTTCTGCAGGTGCGGGGGCCAGCGGCCCTCCCTGCTCCTCACAGCCAGGTCCAGGAGGGGCCTCCCACCCCTCAAAGCACTGCCCGGGATGGCACACAGGGGGCCCCTGGGCTCGGCTGGGAAGCAGGCCCCTCAGCACCAGGGTGGCCGGCCGTGCCCTCGGGCCCGGTCTCACGGTCCCAGGACGGGAAAACCCTGCCAGACTTCTTCCCGACGGGTTCAGGGCAGCCGTGAGGGGAGTTAAAGCTTCCTGGTGTTGCCGCAGGACTCAGTGACGGGCTGGTGGCAGGAGGCGCGGGCCTGGGCTGCAGCCTGCAGCCTGTGCCAGGCCTCCTGCCCGCTGCGGCCCCGGGAGCAGCGCCGAGCCAGCCTCCTGCTCCTGGCCCAGGGGGCGGACAGCGCCAGGGCCCCTGCGGCTTCCCCGGGCGCCCAGGGCCCTCCGCTCCCTGCACTGAAACTGAGGCCAAAGACGCCCGGGTAGCACGCGGATAATTCACCGTCCTCACCAGGGACCTCTCACCCTCCCAGGCCGGCATTCCCTGGTGTTCACAGACAAAACACCGGGGATAATCGGGACGGCCCAGCTCCAGCGGCTGTGGTGCAGCTGCCGAGTGCCCAGGCCCAGTGCGCCCCGGGCGAGCAGCTGCAGCCCAGGCAGCCAGGCCCCGCCCCCCAGCAGCCAGCGCAGCACCCACTGTGCTGCCGGCAGCCCCGGGCTGTCTCCCACGAGGGCAGGAGCCTGGTTACCTGCACCTTCATCTCGCGGTCCGTGTCCCAGATGCGGACGATCCGCACGTCCCCCGAGCTCATGAGGAGCCCGGTCTCCTGCTCCCAGTCCACCACCATCCCGGCTCCTGCGGAGACACAGGGAGGCGCGGTCTCACCCCGTGGCCGGCAGGCAGGCTTGGGGGCTCCGGGTGGCCACCCAGCCGGCAGCTCCAAGGGGCACCGGACACCACGCAGCATCTCCGTGGCTGAGCCGAATGCCTGCCCGTGTGAGCGCCGGCTGGACCATTCCCAGGCTGGAGTCAGTGCCTTCCTGGGAATCCCCTCCCATGGAGGCAACGGCGAGAGGAGCAACAGGGCCCAGCACGGGCCCGAGGGACTTCAGCAGGGACGGCCCGGCCGAGGACCGGTCCTTCTCGGCCATGTCGCGGCTCCGCAGAGGCCACGGGGCTGCGCTACCTGACGGCATGTGGGGTGCCGCGGGTGGACTGGACACAGTGGCACAGGGCTGCCCACCTGTCGGGGCCGGGCCGAGACGCAGGCCCTCCCTCGTGGCTCCAGTTAAGGCAGGATTTGGTTTGAAGGTTTGATGACAAAGATTCCAGCTTACAAAGAAGGAGAGAAATCCCTGCACACCCCCGACCGACAGCTGCCTGCGTTTGTCACTTGTGCTCTTTTTAAAAGAACAGTTTCGCTTTTTAAAAGTTTTTATGTAATTTATTTGAGAGAAAGGGGGAAAGGGGAGAGAGATGAGAGAGAGAGAAGGGGAGGAGAGGGGGAGGGGGAGGGAGAGGAAGGGGAGGGAGGGGGAGGAGAGGGAAGGGGAGGGGAGGGGGAGGGAGAGGGAAGGGAGGGGAGGGGAGGGAGAGGGAAGGGGAGGGAGGAAGGGGAGGGAGAGGGAGGAAGGGAGAGAGAGGGGGAGAGGGAGAGGGAGGAAGG